TCAGCAGGAACGAGGCGCCGGAGGCCGGGCCGACATAGTGGCCCTGGCGGTCTATCTGCGCTGGTTCTGGCGAGTTGCGTGACGACTGGGTGGTGGAGGGCCCCCGTCCGTTGTCTGGGGGAGCCAGCGTCCGGTTGCCGATGGATATGGGACTGGGAATGTGCTCGGCCTGGTGGTGGGTGTGATCAGGAGGCCCAGCCGAAGACGGGTGCTGCTGCTGGCCAGATGGCCTGGCCCCTGGAGGGTTGGCGACGGTGTCGACCAGGTCGCCAGTCTCCATTTCTATGGAAGGCAGACGTCCGCGTCGATAGGAAGCTGTGTACTTGCACTCTAGCCGCAGACGTGAGCAGAGGGCGCAAGGGTATTTGCCCGAGCATCGAGTCTTCCGACTGGAGCAAGGTTAGGTTAGTAAGCCTGATGGAGTAAGGAAGCAAGTGATGCTCCAGGGTTTAAGGGATGAGATGGATAGATATGAGTATGAGTGAATGAACCAGCAAGCAAGCGAGCTCGATGAGAATCAGATGAGATCATACAGGACACCACACCACCATCCCAAGCACCACAACATAGACCACATCACCCGCTACGAAAAGGGGGTATAATAAGACTTACGCCTTGCAACGGTCACAAGCTCTGCTGGCACGGCTCCTCACATGGGGCGGCTTGCGCTGTTTCGAGGGCGGTGATTCATGGTCCTCGGGATCGGAGTGATCATGACCGTGGGGACCAAGGCCAGAGTCATTGTTGCTGACGAGGCTGGTTCGGCGGTCGGTGTCCATGATGAGCTCACTTGTCGGGCTGAGCGGGCACTGCAGTGTACTGCACGGCGCGGCGGCGATAAGATGTTGGTTGGCCGTGGGGACCGTTGTGACGGAAAAGGGCGTCGGGGGGGGGGCGGCGTCGGGCGGAGAACGTGTGGTGATGTGTTGTTTTGTATTCCGTGCGCAACATCGGCACGAGTCACGACGAGGGCCGAGAGATGAGTGTGGACCCTTCATCTTCATATGCGGGGGAAAAGACGCGGGGTTTCGTTCGCGGGGGAGACCATCCGATGCATGGAACCACGCCACAATGGCCTACAACCTCTTCATAGTATGCTCTACCGGGGGAACGGAGACTAACGAATCGTGGCTAGTCAGTTCAGGGGACGGCGGCTCTGGTCTCACCAGTTGGTGTGGATGGTCGTATGAAGAACTGTGCCTCTAACACGCGAAGTAACCCCCGTTTGATTCTTACGACGCCATGCAATGTACGAAGCACCCTGGTCCCTGATCCCTCACCCCCGCAAGGCTGGAGGGAAATGGCCTGCCGGAAATGGATTCCCCTGCAGCAAAAAAAGAAAGATGTGTCTAGAATTCTTCACCATTCCCGCAGCTCGCCGCCAGGTCCGACGAAGCCCGGACTCACCCACGGCTCAGCACCCTGACTTAACAATCGGATCTTCTCCTCATCTATCTCGATACCAAGTCCCGGGCCTGTCATCAACGGAATGTATCCGTTCTTGACATTCCAAATCTCCGGGTTCTTGATGTACGTGAGCAGGTCGTGGCCGCCTGTGTTGTAGTGAATGCCGAGGCTCATCTCCTGGATCGCAAAGTTAGGCGTCGCTGCGTCGACCTGAATGTTGGCGGCGAGCGCAATCGGACCCAGGGGGCAATGTGGTGCAATGGGCACGTCATATGCTTCCGCCATGGCGGCGATGCGACGAAGCTCTGAGATGCCACCAACGTGAGAAATGTCCGGTTGCAATATGTCGACGCACGCCGCCTCGAGGTACGGCTTGACATCCCACCGGCTGTGAAGTCGTTCTCCCAGTGCAATGGGTGTCGTGGTAGACTGCGCAAATGCCTTGATGCCTTCAATGTGTTCCGACAGCAAAGGCTCCTCCACGAAGAGCGGCCGATGCGGAGCCAGCAGTGCCGCCAACTGCTTGGCCATGGGTCGATGCACTCGTCCGTGGAAATCGACGCCGGCATCCATGCCCGTCGCCTTGACCGTCTTGACACGCTCGACGCAGGCGTCAAGTGCAGCAGGTGAGTCGAGCCAAGCCAAGTCTTCAGTGCCATTCATCTTGACGCAAGTGAACCCTTGCGCCTTGCGCGACAGACTGAGACTTGTCAGTTGGATGATTTATGGAATACAGCTCAAGAGGCAACCTACGCTTGCGCTTCAATATCAGCGGGCCGGTCGCCGCCAATCCAAGCATACACTTTGATGGTATCTCGCACCTTGCCGCCCAACAGCTGGTAAATGGGAACATTGAGTTTCCGGGCTTCGATCACTCGTCAGCAAGATAAGTAGCAGCAGAAACACCTGGCGTGTGCCTACCCTTGAGATCCCAAAGAGCAATATCGAGTCCGGCCAGAGCGCTCATGAATACGGGACCGCCTCGGTAGAAGCCCATGCGCCAAGACTTTTGCCAAATCTGCTCAATCTCACTGCATCGCGTGAGTAATCGAACCCTTATCCTCTAGATTTCGGTGTGACTTACTCGGCTTCCATCCCAGTGTACTGCGCAATCCAAGCATCCAAGCACCCTTCAACCGCCTGGGTGTGGCCTTCAAGCGATGCCTCACCCCATCCTACATTCCCCGCATCGTCGGTGATCTTGACGAACAGCCACCGCGGCGGCACCCGGAAGTACTCAATCTTTGCAATCTTGCCCATTTTCTCGTCTGTCTGAGTAAGTGAGTGAGTGATGGAGCTTTCAGAAATGAAACGGGATGAAGTTCCTCGTAAGCGTACAGTTACCTGCGTGTGCGCGTTGGCCTGCCTTCGTACCCGTTTTCTCAGTTTTGTACGATGAGTCGAGTGATTGGGTGAGCAGCTTGACATCCGATGCTCTCCGGCGGAAGACATCAGCCGGAAATGTATCCGTCCACGAATCACGCCTTTACATGTGGGGCCGAGAGGTTGCCGACGTCGGCGCCAGCCCGGATTTCACATGCGGCCCGAGCCGGCTTTCAGTAAACGTGGGGGTGCGCAGGCCGTTGGTGGGGGATGGCTACGGCATCGTTTGCGATGCTTGTCCAGGGGCTGATGTCGTGTTCGGCACTCGGAAAGGAGAAAGGCGGCTCTTTCGGAGCACGCAGGGTATGCGTCACACGGTTTAGGTGTCAGCCTGTCCAAGAGCAAGTGCCAGTCTTGGCGATCCGGATGCCGGCAAAGCATGAGGTTGTCACGTTGACAGGGTTGGTAGACATTAAATTTCACAGCCAAGCTGATCTGCCTGATCATGTCGCACAGGGGTGGTTGCCGAAGACACATTGTCTCATATTCACGCGTGACAGAAGAAAGGAGGCAGTTGTCAGGTCGATCGCTGCATCTCATATCGACCATTGCTGCGTCATAATTGCCCAATCTTCTCCTGTATCGATATCTGACATGGCTTGAGGCATGATGTTTGGACTTTATCTTGGGGCTGTCAACAGAACGTAGTCAGGCTAAAATGCAAATGCTCATTGCTGTCTATGCTACTCTATGGTCTATTTTGCCGCTTTCTGTGCCGCGATCCAGTCCGCCCGTGCCTTTTTCAAGAAAGCCTCGTCGTGCTCTCCGAAGACGTCGACACCCAGGCGAGCAGGCATGTTGTACCTGTGGTTCTTGTCGAGCTTGTTGATACGCTCCAGAGCGGCAGCCGACAACTCAAAGTCCTGGAAGTTCTCCTCGATGCGGCTCGGCGTCACAGACTTGGGGAGAACGACGGTACCGCGCTGAACGGCCCACTGAATGAGGACCTGGGCGGGCTGGCGGCCGACCTCCTTGGCAATGGCGGCGACTTCAGGGTCATCCAGCGCCTTAGGAAGGTTGTAGATATTGTTTCCAGAAGGGCTATAGGCAGTGATGAGGATGTCTTGCTGCTTGGACCACTCGAGAAGCTCGGGCTGCTGAAGATAGGGGTGCGCCTCAATCTGGTTGACTGCGGGCTTGATTTCGGCGCTGGGATATGTGAGCTCGAGCACTCCCAAGATTTTTTGCAGCCACTTACGTCTTGAGGAGGTTCTCGATCCTCGCTTTGCTGAAGTTGCTAACACCGATACTCCTAATCTTGCCCTTCTTCACGAGGGCCTCCATAGCCTTCCATGTCTCGGAAGCGGGCACGTCGATGACATCGACACCGCCATCGGCGGCGAGGGGAAATCGCTGCTTCTTCTCGGCGGGCTTGCTGAAAGAAACAGGCCAGTGGATGAGATACAGATCGACGTAGTCAGTGCCAAGATCGGCGAGGGACTGGTCGAGTGCTTCTTCGACATCTTCGGCCTTATGGTGGGTGTTCCAGAGCTTGGAGGTAAGGAAGATCTCCTCACGGGGAACACCAGAGGCCTTGATGCCAGCACCGACCTCCTCCTCGTTGTCGTAGACGGCCGCGGCGTCAATGTGGCGGTACCCATGACGCAGGGCATGCTCAACAGCGCGAGCGACCTCGTTGGGCCCAGATTGCTGACAATTGTCAGTGACGCTCATACGACCCCGCAGTGAGGAGGTTCAACTCACCCATGTGCCCAGTCCCACGGCGGGAATCGAGTGGCCCGAGTTGAGCTTGAAGGAACGCCCGGAAGACATGATGACACGTTATGCAAGTGATAATGATACGACTATGTCACGTTTGTGCGGCGTAATCATGCCCGTGGATGAATCCTCATTTAAACCCAGAGTCAAGATCGTGAACGGATTATCTGTGTTGATGTTTGACCCCGCGTCGTTATCCGAAAGCACTTATCCGACGGACGGACTCGGTAACCGCTAAAATCGACCCCGACGCCGCCCCGTGCCGGGCTGGCGCCCGAACGCCGGTTTTCTCCGTCAAACGTCTCCGACTCCGGCATGCCGCGACCCACCTCTGACCCCTCACTTTATTCGTCATACAGATACACGTGTTCTCGCCAGCGTTTGGTGCTTGACTTGGGACATTTCTTTTTGGAGGTTTCGATTGAACCGCTTTCGTTCTCTCAACTTTCAGAAAGACTTGCTCGAATCTAGAACAAACAAGCTCTCGCACAATGGCGAACACTACTCCTCCAGATGGCGTATTTGTGCCGGTCCCCACGTTCTTCAAGGAGAGCGCAGACTCTTCCAGCCTGCAACCTGCCATCGATGTCCCTCAGCAGGTCGCTCACAGCGTCCATCTCGCCAAGTCTGGCATCACAGGTCTCGTGCTGATGGGCTCAACCGGAGAGGCGATTCACATGTCTCGGCAAGAGCGTGTGGACATGATCTCTGGGGTTCGCAAGGGTCTCGACGAGGCGGGTTACAAGGATTACCCCATCATGGCGGGTGTCCTTGTCAACAGCGTCGACGAGACTCTCGAATGGCTGCACGATTCCGCCAAGGCAGGCGCGCAGTGGGGTCTGGTGCTTGCGCCGGGTTACTTTGGCGGTGCTGCCAGCCAAGACAACCTCGTCGAGTGGTACACCTTGGTCGCTGACAAGAGCCCTCTGCCCATCCTGATGTGAGTCTGCTGTGAGTGAGCTTATGCGAGGTGGACACTGACATGAGCAGATACAACTACCCCGGCGTTACCAACAACCTCGTGGTCAGCATAGACACGTACGCCAAGCTGGCAGCACACCCCAAGATTGTTGGATGCAAGATGTAAGATTTATTGTCTTGTATTTTGAGAAGTTGACTAATATGGAACAGGTCCCACGGCAACGTCTCACACCACGTGCAGGTGTCACTTCACCCCAAGATTGATCATAGCAAGTTCCGCGTCTACTCCGGCTTTGGCCAGCAGCTCGGTCCCATTGTTGTCTTCAATGCTGCTGGTGTTATTGATGGCCTTGCTGCTATCTACCCCAAGACCATCACGAAGCTCTTCAAGCTGGCTTCCCAGCGTCCTGCAGACGAGAAGACGCAGGAGGAGGTCCGCCGTCTGCAGTGGAAGGTCTCTTCAGCAGAAGAGTTCATCGTCAAGAACGGAATTTTGGGAATTCGTGAGGCCATCTTCAAGGTCCTGGGCTTCGGTCACCTGAAGGGCGGCAGGCTGCCACTGAAAGGTACGCTGGCTCAAGGCGTCTGGGAGGAGTGGAGCGACATCCTGGGACAGATGGCAGATGAAGAGAAGTCTCTGTAGGAATCATTCATTGCCGGGCAAATGGCATTAGCAGATCATGTGTCTTAATCACTGAGACCTAACACCTTGGTGCCTTGCCTTACGTGAATAGGTAGGTTTGTGGGGCAACTACCTGAAAGTTTGCTGCCTGATTTTTGGCTCTACCCATGCCGTATGCCTAGACCTAGACCTGAAGTTTCATTGTTCTTGCATCTTATATCTTGCCTCTCTTCTCTCCACATAATTCGATTCTCTTCTTCGCGCTCCCCTTGAAACCGATGGGCCCGGCGAAGAACGGTCCCTGGTAGGAGGTGATCCTTTGCCAATGTTTCGATCACAATCTACCTTGAACCTATCCTGTTTGCCCTTGGTAATTGAATGTCTTTGGTCATTCCTACCATTGCATGGCACAGGCGGAGATCTTCACCGACGGTTACTTGTCGCTGCCTTGTCTTGGTCCTCGGTTTTCAACTCCCCCCTCCTCATACCAGAACCCCCGACGACAATATCGCTATGGATCCGGAACGACATCCATCACTTCGATACGCGTGTTCACCATAGACCCATCTCTTTTGTTAGACGAATGGGATCCATTGGAAAACACTTCTGCCTCTATGTCGCGGGATAGGATGGTAAACTCCTCTCTCCTATTTCCATCAGTCCGCCCTTCTACAACTCCGCCCTCTCTGTAAATCGCCAACTCTCAAGAAAAGCCTGAGGTAGGGCTTGGTCCTTCGCACATGTTTGGATCACAAATCGTCCGGAGCTTACCTGATCTTTGCACGGAAAGATCGCACCCTTCGAGTTGCCAGTACGGAGGCGTACACACGCAAGTGTGCCGTGCCGGATTCTTTTCAACAACAACAAAATACCCCTTCTTTACCACTCTTCCCCTCTCCCCACCATTCTCTTGCGAGACGACCGTCTTTCTTCTGTTTATCATGTTCTGTCGACTGTTGCCTCCTCAGCTGAGCAACGTTTCTCCACCCTCTTCTATACTTTGGGCCTGAAGGCTGCCTAAGATCTGGACCACGCACGCAACAAGTTCAGGCAGGAACGATTTCAACTTTTGGTAAGTATTGCGAAATCTGCCTCTTTCTCTGAACGGAGGCTAACGAATTTCAGCCTCCCTTCCTCTTCCCTAACCGGAGTTCCCAACACAAATTTCTCCCCTACACTTCCTTCTTTCCTACACCTCCTTCTTTCCTTGAGCACCGATATAGGGTCCTGGTCGTCGTCCTTTCCACGCCTCTGGTCTTATGCTCGCAGACATTAGATTGCAAGAACACTTGACGCTTCCATCTCGTCGACTGTGAAGTTGTCCTACCCTTTCTTTGGGTTTGTTCCATACGCATCCCTGGCCGTGTTTACAGCTCAACTCTGTCTTGATCGCACTTACCACCGCTTGAGGTAATGTCATCCGTCACTCTACAAGGTGAACTTCCTTGTAGAACCTGTACCATATCTTACTGATATGGCTTTGTCTCAGAACACTTCTCACTTCGCTCTTGCCGAGATCCGACACGGAAGACAATTTCAACACCGCCGTTCCAAACTTGAGCCATGGACATCTCTGGTATGGACAATGAATCGCTTGAGCTGGTTGTACAGTTTCTTCGCGATGATATCAGCAACATGGACCAAGATGATCCCTCAAGAGCTCCACAAGCACGCGAGCTACAGGCCCTTGACGCTGTCCTTGCCGATCGCCAGTATGCTCAGCGTCTTGTCGAAACCGGTGTTGCTATGGTAGGCGAATTTGAGGAGCCAATTGCCCAAGAGCCCCTTGCAGTCGACGTCGCAGAGCAGGTCGACACCGTTCTTGCCGATCGCCAGTATGCTGAGCACTTGGTCGGTATCGATGTTGCTGTGGCTGGCCAGAACGAGGCGCTTGCATTGCCTGAGGAGCCAATTGCCGAGGGACCCCTTGCAGTCGACTGTACGGAACAAGTCGATGCTGGCGTTGCCGAGGCTGGTCATTCTGAGGCGCTCGTGTCGCTTGAGGATGTCACTGCTGAGGACGATCAAAATGTCTCGGCTGAAGAACCCGCAGAGCCCAACGCAGTCGACTGTACGGAACAAGTCGATGCTGGCGTTGCCGAGGCTGGTCATTCCGAGGCGCTCGTGTCGCTTGAGGATGTCACTGCCGAGGACGATCAGAATGTCTCGGCTGAAGAACCCGCGGAGCCCAACGCAGTCGACTTGCAAAAGCATCAGGAAGGAGCCACGGATTCCGAAGGCGCACACCCGCAGGAGCCAAACAGCAAGTCCTTTGATCAAAGCAAGCCTCTCAACACGGATACCAAGGAGCCTTACGAGGCTTGCGTCAGCTGCAACCAAGCATTCAGACTAAGCGACTTATCTCAAGGCCCCTGCCATCACCGCTATTGTGGCATTTGTCTATCGGAGATGGTCGCGATGTCGATCAAGTGCGAGAAGAGCTTCCCACCCAAGTGTTGCGGAGTGCCAATCGCGCTTGAACCGAGCCGCCACATCCTGTCCGATGAGCTTCTTGCTGACTTTGAAGCAAAGAAGGTGGAGTTCCAAACCCCAAACAGAGTTTATTGCCATGTCAAGACTTGCTCTGCATTCATCCCGTCTGATACCCATGACGGCAACGTTGCGCACTGCCCCAAGTGCGAACAAACCACTTGTGCATCCTGCAAACAGGCGATGCACGATGACGAATGTTCCGCTGACAATGAAGACGCTGCGTTTCTGCGACTGTGCAAGACGAACGGGTGGATGCGCTGCAACCTCTGCGGAAGGCCCACGGATCTTATACAGGGCTGCAATCACATCAGTAGGTCCTGTCAAACCGATGCCTGCTCATTGCTAATCAATCTGTCCCAGCCTGCCACTGTGGTGCCGAATTCTGTTACTCTTGTGGAGAGGTGTGGAAAATCTGCAAGTGTCCAACCTGGGACGAATATCGACTTTTTGACACTGCCCGGCATCAAGTCAACAGGCGTGGACGCGCTGACATCGCGGCTGTCGTGGCGCGGGCTAATCATTTACGGGTGAATCACGAGTGCGTCGTTCACAACTGGATGTTCGTACATGGACGCCACAGGTGCGAGGTGTGCGAAGAGGAAATGAGGGTCTTCATTCACGAGTGTCAAGTCTGCCACAGAATGATGTGTCGGCGTTGCCGCAATTAGGCCTGAACAACAGCTTTTTTTTAGTTGAGTTCCCGAAGCAGGTAGCAAACGGTACACAGAAAGCTCTGGTTGAATTGTAGGATAGAAAATGATAGCTCTCATCATCTGTCGATTCCGGTCCCCCTAGCTCTCAAAGTACCCAGGAACCTCAGCTTTGCTTTCCTGGGGTTTTTTCTCCTGCAAATCTCGGTTCGAGTCGGACCTCTGTTATTGGTTTCCTCCCGTTTGGCCTCCACCATGATTCTGTCTAAGATTTTGAAGAGTGAAGGAAGGCGCGCCTACTGCCCGTCTTATGAAGCCAACTTGGCAATGCCCTCAACAATAGCAACGATGCCCTCAGCACCAGGGTCAGGTACCTTGCCCCAGTTCTCACCGGCAACATAGACTGCCCTACCAAGACTCGCCTCCATACCCTTAGTACTATCACGGCCCGTTCTAGCAGCCTCCACCGCCTTCGTCAAGTCGCCTTCCTTTTGCAGGGTATCGATGAAGGGAATCAGAGCATCCATCACTGTGCGATCGCCTACTCTCGCAGGCGTCATGGCCTGGAGCCGCTCGAGGGCGCTGCCAGCGGCTTGACTCCAAACTTCTGTGCTAACAGTCTCGCCGGAGGAATTTTGCAAAGCCGCGGCAAAAGCGGTGAAGAAGAGCTCGTACAGGGCACCAGATGTACCGTCCATGCTCTCTTCAATTGCGTGAGCAATCGACATCACAGCAGCGCCTGCCGTGGTCGACTCTGTGACGGGGTTCTCGGAGAGGACCTTGAGCACAGCATTTGCGCCGCGGGATAGCGTCGCGCCGCAGTCGCCGTCTCCGACAATACGATCGTCATGTGTGATTTGAGGTTCGGCAGCGAGGAGGGCCTGGCAGGCTTGTGTGACCGAGGAGTTGAATGCTTGAGGAATCACTGTGGGTTGTCGTCAGCTGGTGTCATGTCAAGATGAAGGAGCTGGGCATACACTTTGGGCCAGAGGCCTTGGAAGTGTGGTCTGACGACTTCTCAGAGGCGGACTCGAGAACACGCTCGCCAGTGTATGGCTTGAAAGCCGAGTACGTTTGAGGCCATCCGATAGCCGTTGTCGGAGAGTCGAGGCTGGCGATGATTTCGTCTGTGGCCTTGAGGATGGTAACACTGAAGCCCGATGCATCCAAGCTCGTCATCAAGGTACCGGACAAGATGCGTGTTGGTTGAATGCCCCGGGAATCTGCGCAGGTGTGTCAGCCATGCTCGGAAACTCTTTAGCCAAGGAGGTCGACATACTGAGCTTCTGAACCGTGTGGCGTGTGATTGCGCTCAATTCGAGCTGTGACGTGCCTCCCAAATTATTCACGAGAAGCACGGAGCTCTTGGCATCATCGAAATTGACGAACGCCCGATCAGTATCGTCGGTCTTGAGCAGCAAGTCGAGCATACTGTTCAACAGGCTGTCGAGACTGGGCTTCGAGTCGAGAACCTGGCATCCGGGTTCATTGTGAATACCCATGCCCAGTTCGACCTTGACATTTGCGGCATCAGCATCGACGGCGGTACCAGGGATGTGAACGTGTCCCTGGGACACACCACAGGTTACGAGACCATCCACAATCTGCTTGCCGACGCTCAACAGCTCGTCGATCGACTTGCCCTGAGCAGACAAGGACCCAAGAACCTTGTGGACAAGGACTGTGCCCGCCAGGCCTCGTCGGCCAACCTTGCCGCTGCGTTGGCGCCCCACCGCCACATCATCCCCAACCACCAGGACCTCAACCCTGTGGCCCCATCGAGCTCTGGCCTTCTCGGCTGCAAGGTGGAAGTGGAAGATGTCACCAGTGTAGTTCTTCACGATCAGGATTGTGCCCGCGCTGCCACCAACTGTGCGGATAGCTTCGACGATTTGGGAAACAGACGGAGAGGCAAAAATGTTGCCTGAGACAGCAGCGCTGAGCAGGCCGCGACCAACAAAGGCTGCATGGGCCGGCTCGTGGCCAGCACCTCCACCGGAAATGAGAGTAACGTGATTGGAGGGGTCGTGGTGTGCATTCGAGATGGCTGACTCAAGGTTAGCAGGGTGTGATGGCAAGGGACTGCCATGGGACGGGGTTGGCCTGTACTCTTGATTGTCTTGTTGAAGACGAGCTCGGGGCTGACATCGACCAGCCCTTGCAGGCTGTCAACCACGAGAGCCTGGCCGTCGCTGAAGAAGCTGGTGTCTGTCATTGTTGCTTGGGAACCTTTGTGATCAAGACCGAAAAGGGGGTAAGCTATGGCGCGCCTCTCACACCCACGCGAAGCTGAGCCTTGCTGGCTTCGACATAGCTATAAGCTCAAGCTCGAACCCCTCATGCCCCGAATTTGTTGATGGCGTCCAATAGGAGACCTGCCGGGATGCCGATGAGCTTCCGTTGGCATGCCGTGGCATCGCGTGCCGTCAATACGGCCTGGGCATGATCCTTTGAGGTTCTCCTTCTCCAACCTCCCCTCAACGCCCCCGCGCGTTGACTTGCCTCTGCCGATCCGTGACGGCAGGGTTCGGGAAAGTAACGTGGCCGGAAAAGTAGATTACATGCACCATCATCACGAATCTGGTTTATCCGACACGGCGCTCACACCACTTCCGGTCGGCACTGCATCGAGGTTGGTGGAATGAAAGGTCAGTGCATGGTCAGCCCTTGTCCTTGTTGCAGTAGAGGCCCCCACACCCCCTCCCCCATACTATCTGCCCCAGCTTCCCCGCAAACTGGCATGGTCGGAAAAGGCTGGTCCCCCAGCTGTTGAGTCGTTTCAGCACACCTCCATCTCCTGGAAACAGGTGGTTAGATCTGGCGTTCATCTGTCAAGATGCAAGTATAAACCCATCCAGAGACGTCACCCTGGGTTCCGAGATCCAGCAGCTTCACCTTCGAGTCAGCAGCCACAGGGTTGACGATCACTGCAACCACCACAAGTTTGGACAACAGAACCAGGCCAAACACACGCTAGAGGCTTTTCAACATGTCTGCCAAACCAGCATCGACTACTGGCGCTGGCGACGAGAAGAATCACATCTCCCATGTCGAGGCGTCCAATGATGATGGCGTTTTCGAGAAGGGCGGCAAGGAAGAGCTCGACCAGTTCGGCTCGCACAAGAAGACAGATCCCAGGGAGATTGCGCTTGTGAAGAAGCTCGACCGCTTCATGCTGGTGTGTATCCTTCTGTCTTTGGGAGTTTCTGTGGCTGACAACTTCAGCCCATTCTTTGGCTCATGTACTTCTTCAACTTCGTAAGTCTGGTCTCTCGTATCTAAGTCGACAGTTTCGCAACCCAATATTTCGTGCCAGGTAGTCGCAGCTGGGGCAACACGGATACCACATCTCATGATCTGGAGTCATATGCTAATAGAGGCAATCCAGCTTGACCGCAATGCCATGATCAACGGACGACTGAATGATCTTGAAGATGATCTTGGTCTCGTCGGAACACAGTACAACACCTGCGTCTCCATCCTGTTTGTTGGGTAAGCACCTTCGCATATCACTCGAATAACCACAGGAAGCATGACTAATTGATCAAGCTATCTGTGTGGTCAAATTCCCTCCAACATGATCCTCAACCGTGTGCGCCCGTCTTGGTACATGTCAGGTAGGTAGCCTTTACGAACGGAGAAGTGAATATCGAGGACTAACGATACTAGGTTTCTGCATGGCTTGGTCCATCACCAGTCTTCTTACCTACAAGGCTCACAACTATGAGACTATGCTCGTCTGCCGCTTCCTCCTCGGCATCACAGAGGCACCTGTATGTTTTCACAATGATGCATCCGATGGCGCCTTGTCTAACTGTCGCAGTTCTACCCTGGCGCTCTCTACATGATCAGCATGTTCTATACCCGCAAGGAGATTGCCACTCGCATGGCCATCTTCTACACGGGCAACATGCTGGCTAGTTCTTTCTCCGGACTCATCGCTGCCGCCATCTTCAACCTTGACGGCAAGCAGGGCCTCGCTGGCTGGCAATGGTATGTTCAAAGAAATAGAATGCGGGACACCCCACGTCAGGAGACCAATGGCTAATGTCGCCGCGAACAGGGTCTTCATCATCCAGGGCGCTCTGTCGATCCTTGTCGCTATCCTTGCATTCTTCACCTTGCCCGACAGCCCTCTCAAGACTCGTTGGTTGAACCAGGAGGAGCGCGAGCTTGCTCATGCCCGTATCTACACAGATCAGACCGGTCGTCGCGAGGGCACCAGCGTTTGGACTGGTCTCCGCGAGGCCGCCTCGGACTGGCGGGTCTGGGTCTTCTGTCTTATGGACAACTTCCATCTGTCAGCCAATGGTTTCAAGGTGGGTCTACCAAGTTTCTGGCTTGAAAGCAAAACTGACATGCATCACCTCAGAACTTCCTCCCTACTGTCATTGAGACTCTGGGCTACAACAAGACTGTCACCCTAGCTCTCACGTGCCCCCCCTACCTCCTTGCAGGCGGCATGAGCGTCGCCGTGTCCTGGTCGTCTGGCCGTTACAACGAGCGCACGTGGCACACGACTGTCAGCAAGCTACTCGCCATTGCTGGTTTCGCCCTCTCCGTCGCCACCCTCAACGTGCCCGCACGCATGGTGGGCATCTTCATCTTCGTAACGTTTACTTACGGGGTAAATAACATCATACTCGGTTGGACGGCCAGTGTCGTTGGCCAGACGGACGAGAAGAAGGCCGTCGCCATCGCCATGTGCAATACCATGGGTAATCTGGCCAGCGTCTATACACCTTACTTGTGGCCAAGTAAAGACGAACCCCGATACTTGACTGCAATGCTTGCAAGCATCGGTTTCTCCTTTGGAGTTATTATTTGCGCGTGGGCTATGCGGATCTCACTCCAGCACCAAAACAAGAAGCTGAGGGAGCGGGATCCCGGCGCGATCAACTTGTACGTGTACTGAGGAGTTGATACCTCTTTATGATGCGGTCAATCTACTCTATAAGCCAACGGAGCGCTCAAGGCAAGGAATGGGTCGATGAAGAGGGATGTAATAGCAGCCCCTGGCCATCTTACTCTACTTTCATCCATGGTATGGAGAAGCGAGGGGCACACTGACATTCAAATGACATAATTTCACCATGATTCAGATGCATGACCGTCCATAATGAATTTTCTTATACAGGGATATTTTATAGCTGAAAAGTCATCAGTAGTATCGGGGCTCGTTGGTCAGGCCGCTCCGGAATCCCGGTTGGAGGTCGCACCTCGGCTTGCTATTCGCCGTGTGGGGCCGGCCTCGATGCCGTTCAGCCACTCCCTTCCTGTTCAGCCACGGCACAGGTAGGCCAGGCCTGAACTTCTTAGGCAGGCACGGTGTAGCTAGGCACCTTCTTCTGGCAAACGTCGCCTTCTATCTAGTGACCACCACATCTTGGAGCAGGCAACCGATCCCAACGAGCACGCCGCTCACATCTTCAACACACCCCAGATGCCAGCCCAGTATTCAACTGCTTGCCCCTCCAGGTATCCCTCTCAATGTGTTTTCCTGCTGCCTTGAACACCACATTCTCCTGCTGATATCCGTAGCCAGGCCAGACCACACTGCGTCGACCGACATCGTGATTGGGATCAAGATGATGGACGAAAAAGTTTCACGACCGTACCATGACTTCAGCCAGCTTTTGACAATTCGGACACGGTCCGAAACAACTTCCTTCCTTGCGGCTGACAACCGGATCGAGTTGAATACGAAGCAGATTACCACATGGTGTGTCGCAGCGACAGGCTCCTCGGAAGCAATCAACTCGAGCTTGTTGTCCTAAGTTCCCTGTCGAATCGATACGGATACACGGCATTCCTCCTTTCCATGGGGGGGGGATACATTCCTCCTTTCCATGGGGGGGGGATACATTCCTCCTTTCCATGGGGAGGGATGCATGGTACTCAGTCGTCAAGCAGCAGCCGCTGTGCATGTCCTGATCTCCCACTAGGGCTGTTCCACGCTTGTACTGGTAGCCTTGCTGGGCGAATCGCTTCGAACTCGTCACAAAGGGAAAACCGAGAGCCGGAGCATCGGGGTACAGATGGACTCGGAAAGGAGTCGAGAGAGAAGCCCGCCATCAAATGTCAGGGTCATCACGAATGGGGCAAAAGCCTCTCGAAGCTTCTCGAACGGAGCTTCGCGCAAGCATTGCAATATATCTCTGCAAGAAAGCAGCCACCTGTGTTGATGGCATTGTCGTAGATGGGCTGGTAAGTGGAGTTGAGCTGGTCAATCATGTTGACTGATGGTGAGTACTACAAGATAGTGACCGGGCCGGAGGTTAACGTATGGCCAAGACCAAGCGCTGTGCCTCTCTGCATGATGGCAGCCTCAAACTTCTCGTCAAAGCCGACGAGATGATGGCCAACGCTAAACTTGCCCGCTGACTGTTCCGCAACGGTCAACCCAGCCTACAGTTGATAGACAGCGAAAAAGGGCTTGTCGATGGCCACCGACGAGTTGACGAGATATCAGATGTTGTATCAAGAGTCAGTAACGCCGCCAGCCGTTCAGTCGCTACCATGAATCCAGTCGAAGATGGGTACATCATAGCCAGGCGAGACGCCCAATGGCCGAAAGTAAGCCAAGGTCAAGTAGTATGTCAAGGGCGTCAGTGTTGTGCACGCCACTGTAGATTCTGCCTCGCACCTTGACCCGTGGTCGGTTATTTGGCAAATCATGCGTAACTCACGTAGCTACCGCTCTGCTCTTTGCATCTCGAACATAGCTCCAGGCGGCAACCAGAGATTCGGAATGCCTCAGTCGCAGGTTGCCGGCTGGTGGCTGCGCAAACGGAACGCCAAGGAAGGCATCTTCGTGGAACTCGGGAGATGTATTCCTCTGAGGGTCCAATTCAGAGCGGTTGCGACAGACGCGTTGCCGTATTGGAGTCTTGGGCAGTACTCTCGAAGGCCGTCACTACAGACAGCGGTAAAGCAAGTCGCGACAACAGCCAGGCGGATGGAGAAGTTTGCCAGAGACATTTTGTCTCGCACTTGGAAAACGAATCATGCACGAAGATGTCGACCACACAATACTAAGGCCTCAATTGCAGTCCGCTCTGTATGCTCGTGGCTGAACGACGATCGGCTCAAACACCGGCCTCGTACCCGGCACTGCATCTCGTTGCGGTTTGGCCGATGAACGCCACAAGTCCCTGTGTTGCGTCCGGCACTCAGGGCGGACTTATAGATACCGTGATCGGTGTCGTCAATTTGACTCTGAGTCTAATGATGCCTGCGGTGGAGATGATCAACGTCCAATGGACTATACGTCGGTTCAACATGTCGTCCCGGCAATTGTCTTCAAACCGACGCGGGCGACTTGCCGTCAACGCTGGCAGTTTCAGCCCTTGGTTAAGGTAGAAAATTTACCACGAAGCTCTCGCCACATACACGGGACACGAAATCGTCCCACAGTCGGCCTTGATTGACCGCCGCTTTGCTGGCCCTACCCAGCTGGCGCGGCAGTCTCCATAGGCTGTCAGTTCATGCCTTATCCCATTCGATTGGACAAAGCCCGGGAGCTACGTATGCCTGCGCGATCTTGACAGCCGAATTTATGCGTCGCCAGCCCCTTTCTCTTATCCATGACCTCGACCAAAGGGCTAGGTAAATAGTGAAGGCAAGGGATTGTGCGCAACGGCGCTGCACGAGCCCAACTTCATCTGTCTGATGCGATACATAGTGCGGCCAAAAGGTCATGGCCTTAGATGCCTGGTACTTTTTTTGACCCTGATGCGAGTCGGATCAACTGAGGCAGACGTGCGGTTTCATCGACAGTGGCCGAATGGTAATAGTACACCAGCTGTGGTTACGTAACCAGCGAGTGTCCATCGTCATTTCGGTCAGCATTGCGCCGTAAACTTTCCTCAACGCTCGATTCCACTTGCTCAGCGCGATGCGATCACACGTTCACACTCATCTTTCAAGACCTGCCCTCCAGAGGCGCATTGTCATACCACTCTGTCAAACGAGATCTTTCTCTAAAGCGAAGGCGCAGTTCATAACTAAGAACGAGAAGGGAATTCCATCATCGTCCGAAACCGAGATACGAATCGGTGAGCCGCACCAAGCTTTCATCTATATCGAACCGAAGCTCGGGGACATCATCAAGTCTTCAGCCGTGCAGCAGACTGGGACGAAGAATGCACAGCATTTAAAGAAGCTTCCTATGGTGTTCCATCACGGATTGCGCCAGTTTTCCCACAGTCTGTCCTACCTTTCATGTCACTGAATCCCACTCAGCCCGATTCCTGATATGTGCTAGCTACCGTATCCTATCCCCGAGTTGAGATTGCTCGGGATCTCCCCCGCCATACCACGGGCGATACGAGTCCAGCGACGCTCTGGACATCCTTCAACTGGCATGCTCTGACGCTTGACGGCTCTCCTGAGGGTACGTGGTTTCCTGCTTGTCGGCCCATTGCTGCTACAGCTTGGATATCTGACTCTTTTTCAGAGGAATTCGAAAAGCTTTCGCGGGAATCAGGAGAGGACTGGAAAGAATTATTGGAATCGCTGAGTCGGACGTAAAAGCCCACTCTTCTTCCAAGTGCAGCGAGTATTCAATGGGATTCAGCTTGGAAGCGGTAAGGCTGTATGCAGAATTGGAGGCCCGGCAGCTGCTCAGCTAACAAATGGCCGAACGCGAGGCAAGCGGAGGTTATGATACCTTCCTCGATTCCGAATTTCTTTGTTCTAGTTGTTTTTGCTTCTTTTCTGTTTCTTCTTTTCGCCTTGTTTTCGGCATGGTATGATGGTTAGCCCTGCCATTCTACTCTCGCTGGTCACCTCCGTTGCCTTACAACAAGACTTTCCCTCGGCGCAGACCATGAGATGCGCGTTTCATCTCGCGCCAGGCTTTGTCGGCGAAAGGCGCTTCCGTAAAGGCGTCTGGTTGCCTGTGATGGGGATGTTCAAGAGATATGCAGCTTTCTCGATAAGTCCCTCCGGGAGCAGGACGAGCCCTCTCCATAATCATTGTGGCAACCGAAGGACAGAAGCGTCGGTGGCCTCTATGTTGGCATTTGTGCTGGCTTGGATCGCTCTTCAACTACATCTTCGATGTGGTTCTCGGGCGACAGGGGGTCGTTTTGATCTGGGGTATTGTCCTGTAGGAATTTTAGTGGCGATTGATCGACGCGGGCAATTTTGGGGAAGCACGAGGCAGACATAGAAGTTGAGCCGAGCACGACCGACGGCGGCGTTTGCCTGAATTCTATGGTCAATTAATCTCGCTGGTTACTGTCCGCGGGCTGTGTTTGAGGACGACAGGAAGGCAGCCCGTCAGCTAGAGTTTCCTTCCAGGCCTGGCTTGTGCCAGAAGCAACGCCCTGGCCGAGGCAGATGCTACCGTTGTCATTCTGCTGTATCACTGAGTTGCCCTACCAAGTTCGCATAGCTATTCGCAGTGCTTGAAGTTGGCTGGGTTAGCTACTGAGATTGGGGATATCCGACTAGGTGATTGAACCTCCAGGGGCATTTTTCAATTCTGGATAAAAGATCGCCAGAAATGAGATAGTGAAGATAAAAATGAGGCTTCCTGAGACAGCATCGCATCTCATTGAGAGGTGACATCGGACCAGACGGCTGCTCATCACGTGCAACTACCAACATGAGTCAGCCATTCCATCACCAAGCATCACATCACTCACTCTTCTCAACCTCCCGAATCATCACAACGTCAAGCAAAACAATCACAGCACCATGTCGTTCCACCTCTCCAAAGAGTCGCAGACGGCGCTCCTCGCGACGACGGCCCTCGCGTCGACGACAGCAGCAGCCCTCAACCTCTCGCTCTCGCTCATCCTGACACCGCGGCTCCTCGAGCTGCCGACACCGCTCATGCTGCGCGCCTGGCAGAGGGCGCACGCGCGCACAGAGGCGCCGCTGCCGCTGTCGACGCTCGCGTGCGGCGCGAGCTACGCGCTGCTCGCGCACAGGACGGGCTCGCGCGCCCTCGCGGCGGCGGCGGCGCTATGCCTGTCCGTGCTGCCGTGGACGCGGCTGCTGATGCGCCGGCGGCTCGACGCCGAGATTGCGCGGCTCGCTGACGAGGCCAACGCCGCGAGGGCCACGCAGGAGGTGAGCGCCGCGCAGGAGGCGAGCGCCAAGTGGCTCGTCGACCAGTGGGGGGTGTACAACCTGGGCCGGGGGGTGCCCGTGCTGGTGGCGGGGGCGATTGGGGTGTTCAGCCTGGTGTTGTGAGCGTGCGCTTGGCTCGTATGGATGGATGTGGTCGTTGGGTCGTTTGGCCGTTCAGGAGTGTTGGCTTCTACATGACTTTGGTGATTTGGACTTGGCGGCTTCTTGTCATTTCGTCTCCTCATTTCGTCTTGTCATGTCTGACTGACTGCCTGTCACAGTCTCATGGCACCATGTAGACGTTATCAAACGGGCATTAGGTAAAGGGTATCATTTTGTCTATATCCCGCCATCTATGCAATCGTACACCATTTTGACTACCCGTCGCTCAAAAATCAAATGCCAGTCATTATAGTGCCAGCAGACGAACTGTCTGTGGTCGAGAACCGAAGATAAGAACCGAAAACAAAAAAACCCGGAGAAAATTCTCTTACAGGTCATAGCGTCCCTTGACGAGGTCGACCTCGGACAGCTTGATAGGGCGTCCGCGGAAGATGGCCTTGTGGACGACGAACAGGACGAGGAAGAGGAGCAGCGAGATGTAGGCGGCGAAGAAGTCGCTCGTGCTCCAGTCGATGAAGACGGTGAAGCCGTTGGTCAGCAGGATGAGGACGATGAAGAAGAGGCCGAACCACGAGAGGTAGGGCTGCAGCGGCGCAGTGTAGGGCAGGGTGGCGCGGTCGATGCCCTGGAGACGCAGGGCGGCCTGGAAGCGCAGGTGGCAGACGCTGATGCAGGACCACGAGATGAAGCCGGCGACGGCGACAATGTTGAGCAGCCAGCCGAAGACGACGCCGCCGTCGGCCGACAGGTTGAGGAAGGCGAGGAAGCCCATGGCGGCGGTGACGGCGACGGCGTAGTGCGGCGTGCCGTGGCGGTTGGTGCGCGTGATCCACTGGGGCGCGTGGCCCTCGGAGGCGAGGGCCAGCAGGATGCGGCTGCCCGAGTAGACGTTGGAGTTGGCGGCCGAGAGGACGGCGGTCAGGAGGACGGCGTTGATGATGTCGGGCAGGACCTTGACGCCGGCGCGCTGGGCGGCGATGACGAGGGGCGAGGCGCTGGCGTCCTTGCCGCCGGACAGCAGGCGCTCGTCGTCCGAGGGCACGAGCAGGCCGAGGAAGAAGACGGTGGCGATGAAGAGGCAGAAGATGCCCCAGAAGGTGACGCGGATGGCGCGCGGCACGCTCTTGGCCGGGTCGCGGCACTCGCCGGCGCCGATGCCGACGAGCTCGGAGCCCTGGAAGGAGAAGCCGGCGATGATGAGGACGGACCAGAAGCCGACGAACTTGCCGGTGGCGCCGTCGACCATGTACTCGACAAAGGGCCCCGGCTGGCTCCAGTGCTTGAAGCCGATGTAGCCCTCGTCGCCGACGCCGGCGTTGACGCAGACGGCGAAGATGATCCAGCCGACAATGGTGACGACCTTGATGGAGGAGAACCACATCTCGAGCTCGCCGAACCAGCGGACGGGCATGTAGTTGATGGCGGTGAAGACGACCCAGAAGACGGCGATGAAGATGCCGACGCTGAGCGACGAGTTCCAGTACTGGATGATGAGGCCGGCGGCGCAGAGCTCGAGCGCAAAGGTGACGGACCAGGAGAACCAGTAGGTCCAGCCCATGGCGAAGCCGAGCGAGTGGTCGCAGAAGCGCGAGGCGTAGGCCGTGAAGGAGCCGGCGACGGGGATGTAGGTGGCCATCTCGCCGAGCGACGTCATGACGGAGAAGACGACGGCGCCGATGAAGGCAAAGGCGAGCAGGGAGCCGACGGGGCCGGCCGAGGTCAGGGCATCGGCGGTACCGAGGAAGAGACCGGTGCCGATGGTGCCACCGATGGCGATGAACTGAAGGTGACGACTCGACAGAGTACGCTGGAGGCCGGCATCACCAGTCTCCAGGTCCGTCTTGGGCTCGGCACCGGGGCTCGGCGGGGGGAAGGCCATGGCCTCGGAGGTGTGGGGGGTCTTTTCCATTGCGGGGAGGAGGAGGAGAAGGAGGAGGAGGAGGCGAACAGGCACTGAGCAACTGGCTAGACGATGATGAAGTGTGAATGATGTGGGATCAAGCGTGGAGGAGGACGAGGAGGCGAGCAGGCAGGGAGGAAGCTATTATGTACATCGAACAGCAGGACATGGTACGATGAGTAACAATGGGCAATGGGTAGAGGCCGGGGCCAAGTCGATCGAGGCCCACCGGCGGAGGACAGGCGACCCACGGCCGGGGCGAGCGCGGTTCGAGCTGCATGAAGCAGAAAAAAATAAGGACTTCCAGAGGATGATTCAAAGCTGACCATAATCAGGTCTCTACGGCTTGGGTCGAGTATCATAGACGCCGGCCAGCGTAGGTGGCGCGGGTAGCACCGGGCTCACCGGCCTCGGGATCCACAAGACTCAGGATTCGGAGCGACAACAAGACAAAAGAGGCAAAAGACGGGGACATTTCCTCTCGAGAATTCGGACTGTCCGCCTTATGTCAGCGTCCGATCCATCTCCGGTCTGTCTCCGTGCCAATGAGAAGCTGTCGAGCGCCGTTGACCATGCAGAGAAATTTTCTCGAACGAACTGAGGCTGTCTCCCCCTGGTCGATGCTGGCTCGTCTCAACCTGCCGTTAGGGAAAACTCTGCACGCGGGACCCATCGGCACGTAACGAGAACCATTTTTCTTGCTTCCTCTGCAGGCCCATCGCGTGTGGATCGGCCAGAGTGCCGCGCTGTCTGCGGCGGCCCGCGTGCCGGCCTCGTCAATTCCTGCTGTTAGCGGCATTTTTCGGGAGAGGCTGTACCCGCTGTAGTGTAGGCGCCCTTGGCTGCTGCTGTACTGCTGCTCTACTATACTCCTGTTGCACTGCTACTGTACTGTATGCTCCCTTGACTACCATGTACATCCTGCTGATGGCAACGATGCTTCCCGTATATCGTCTTGGTTCGTGCAAGTCTCTCAAGATCTTGGTCTTACGCTCCCTCCTTAGGCTACAGCGCCAGGTCAGACGCCCTGCTGAACACCAGCTTAAGTAGTCGACAGGGAAACGGCCCACCAAAAGAGAGAAGACCCCAGTGTGCCAGGACATCAGCGCCGAACTATGCCTCGCTGATATGTAGTGAATGTACCGAGAGCCATTCGGTGGGCCATGCTTTCTCTCGCGTGCTGGAGCTGTCAGTCACACCAGGGCGAAGACTGCACGCGCCAGAGTCATGGCGCTGTTGATCCGCTCCCACCATGACTCCTCTGACTCTTTTTAGAGAAACCCACCTCGACGACGGCCGAGCTCCGAGCTCGCAACGCACACACAGCCGCTTGTCACAGTCTTTTCCTCTGTTCACCACACGGTCGAGGCCTTCTCCCGGCCTGCCAAGATGTCGCGCTTCATCTTGATCAGGCCTCGTCGTCGGAAATGATCGGTCTTGGTCTCTTTGATGCTCCATCAAAAATCGACGCACTTGTCGCCGTTTCCTTTTTGACTCAGACTGGAGCGAATCCCCTCATCTCCCCCTCCTCGGCCGAGCTGTCGGGCCTATTCTTGTTTCCAGATACCTAGTTCAAAGCGCTACGACCCAGGACCCAAGACCAAGGACCCAAGACCCAGGACCTGGACCCAAGATCACTTATCATGACCGTCACTTCTTGCTGTCAAGTATTTTGACTTGTCTCGATAAGCCTTGGGCAACACAGATCACCAGATACCAAAGGCATGCACATCTTTCCGTGAAGTGCTGGCCAGCGGGTGAACCACTATTCGTATCATTACTATCAGAACGACCACCCTCACATCCCCCCCGAGCTCATCGACAGAGTCCTATTGTCTCGTATGGGATTCTCCCGTATGACGATTCGCACCTCACGCGACGCGCCCTCCAGAGCGTGTGCCCTTGATCCATCCCCTCGGGTCCGCCTCTCGCTCTCCTCCTCCTCTTCCCGCTCCTCGTCGCGCGATCCGGCCCACCCCCTCGGGCTACTGCCGGCCCTCGACTGCTGCTCTAGATCCCCCCTCACCGGCCGCAGATGCTCCATGTCGTCGCCACGTCCCTCCCCCGCGCCGCCACCGCTGCTGCCCCGCCGCGCAAAGTGCTCCATCTCGAAAAAGTGCGCCGTCTCCCGCGGGCCCACGCCCCACACGGCCCGCGGCGACGTGATGCCGGCTGCTGCTGCTGCTGTTGTCTTGGTGGTGCTCGCCACGTAACCTTTGTTACTATCCTTGGTGCCTCGTGTCACGCCCTTGTCTGCCTTCGTCTGCGTGCCCGTGTTCGTGCCCCCACCCGTAGAAGGCGACGAGAACAGGTTGAGGCGCCGCAGCAGCGCCTTCTCGCGCGTGCCCATGCGCGGCTCGTCGACGGCCCTGGCGCCCTGAAACATGGCGCGCAGCACGGGGATCGAGGCGGCGATGATGGTGACGGCGCTCTCGGCGGCGCCCCAGATGACGAGGTCGACCGTCTCGATCATGTCGCTGTCGCCAATGGCGTGGAGCGTCGAGATCTTGACAAACGACACGATGCCGGCGCTGGCTCGTCAGCCGGAAGCACACGAAAATTCGCAACAGAATACGAAAAAGTAAAAAAAGTGTTGCGGGCAGGGTGAGAACGTACAAAACACCCATGCTCATGGCGATCAGCACGCCGAGCTTCTCGCGGCGCGTCAGCTCGAGCCCCCAGATCATGCGCCACGGCAGCAGGGCGAGCAGCACGTCCATGGCGCCCGAGTAGGCGGCCGAGACGATGTTGTAGTTGCGGTGGACGTGCTGCGGCCAGCAGGTGCCCTCGACGGCGACGGTGCGCCACGTCTTCTCGACGGGCGAGCACTGGACCCAGGTGATGAGCACGGCGCCGCCGAGCACGAGGTTCATCGACACGATGAGGAACCATATGAGCCAGCGCATCCACCGCTCCGACGCCAGCCGCTGCAGCGTCAGCGCGAACGACGTCTTGCTCCACGCCGCCGCGAGGATCGAGAACGACCCGCTGAGGTTGCCGTGCAGGAGGAGCCATGCGAACGTCGCCTGGTCGATGTTCCAGCTGTGCTTGCCGAGGTCGAAGCCGACGGCGACGGTCGTGAACGACGACAGCAGGATGA